TGAGCCATCTCCCTGGCCCCAATATATGAATTTTTACCTCATTATGCAGTAGTGCTAGCAGCTTTTCAGTTGTGTGCCAGCAACCAGTAGCTGTCATTTGTGCTGGACTGTGTGGTCAGCCCCTGTCACCAAGCTTGTGGGAGCTTGAGACCATCACTACCCTTCCACAGACTTACAGTGGAAAAATGGTCAAAGATCGCCCAGGAAAGCTCTTTATTGGTGGGCTTAATACAGAAACAAATGAGAAAGGCTTGAAACAGTATTTGGAAAAATATGGATGGATAGTAGAAGTACTCTTGATAAAAGACCAAAAAACCCAATAAATCAAGAGGATTTGCTTTTGTTACCTTTGATAGCCCAGCAGATTCTAAGGATGCAGCCATGCATGCATGGAAAGTCCTTAGATGGTGAAGCCATCAAAGCAAAACAAGCCACCAAACCATCATTCGGAAGTGGTAGGAGGACCACCTCCACCGCCCAAAGCAGAGGCCCCGCAGAGGTCTTAGAGGAGGAAGTGGAGGAACTAGGAGACTTCCCTCACATGGAGGGCACATGGATGATGGTGGTGATTCTATGAATTTTAACATGGGTTCTTCCAGAGGACCCCTTCCAGTGAAAAGGGGACCACCAACATGAAGTGGGGGTCCTCCTCCTAAAAGATCAGCTCTGTCAGGACCAGTTCAAAGCAGCAGTGGCATGGGAGGAAGAGCCCCTGTACCACGCTGAAGAGATAGTTATGGAGGCCCTTCTCGAAGGAAACCCCTGCCCTCTCACAGAGATGTTTGTCTCCAAGAAATGATGGATATTCAACTAAAGACAACTATTCAAGCAGAGATTACCCAAGTTCTTGTGATACGGGAGATTATGCCCCACCACCAAGAGATTATACTTTCTGTGATTATGGTCATTCCAGTGGACATGATGACTACCCATCGAGAGGCTATAGTGACAGGGATGGATCATGATTACTCAGATCATCCGAGTGGAGGTTCCTATAGAGATTCACATGAGAGTTATGGAACTCACGTAGTGCTCCACCTACACGAGGACCCCTGTCATCTTATGGTGGAAGCAGTCGCTATGATGATTACAGCAGCTCAGCTCACGAGACGGATATGAGGGAGGTCGAGACAGTTACTCAAGCAGCTGAAGTGATCTCTGCTCAAGTGGTCATGATCGGGTTGGCAGACAAGAATGAGGGCTTCTCCCTTCTATGGAAAGGCGGTGCCCTCCTCCATGTGGTGCCTACAGCAGTTCAAGCTGTGGAGCACCAAGAGGCCAGGGCCGTGGAGGAAGC